AAGGAAGGAAGGAAGGAAGGAAGGAAGGAAGGGATGATAGATAGACAATCGACTAAACTAAGAAAAGAATTTTCAGTATGGAAGATATGCAAGTGTCACAGATGAAAAAAAGTGCTGTTAAAAAGGTGGTGAAAGGAAGAAATGAGACTAGATTGGCTAAATATTAAATATTTATAGATTTAAGGGGGAAAAAAGTGTGCAAAGAGGCCTAGCATCAGCATGAAAAGGAAATGTCGCAAATGTGAGTGGAAATGTTAAGTGGAAGTTAAAAAAAAAAGCCCATATAACAGCTTTTTGCAACCTGGCTCACCGTAAGGGTATTAACTAGCTCCCAGAATTCTCAACGATGGCCATGCTGGATGGTGGATTCTGGGAACTGAAGTGTATATCGCAGGCATGTACCCAGATTGTCAGTTGACTGCCATAGGATTATGATAGATGATTATATTCGGTCGATGTGATGGACATCAAATAAAATCTAAATTCTGAGATGGTTCTAGCTTAAACCATGCATGCTGTTTTGTAAATGTAAGATTCACCTGGGATTTTGAAAGCTCAGAACTCACTGAAGGGCCAAGCAGCATCCATGCAGTTTTACTGGCAAAAATAGAATCTGTTAGTAATGAACCTCTGAATGTCATCATGGGTTCATTCTTTCTGATACAATATCCTTTGGCCCACAATTGTTACTAAAACCTGTCTAAAACTTTTGGATCTCTTGAGAAAGCTTTAATTAAAAACTCCAGCCCCATGGTGAATTCATTAGTGTACAGATTTCCAGTCCTGGAAGATCTTGTTTTATCTGCAGTGCAATCCATGACATCATATTTAGCATTTCTTTCAGACTGCCTATATCTGTACAAGGCGGATGGTTAAGATGGAGCCCTCCTAGGCTCTTGGCTTGGCTACTGGATGGTGGTAGCTAATTTTTAAGCTTTTATCCCCAATTCACTATCCTACCTGTGGGACCCTTACTGAACAGATTGTCTTCAGAAAATGTGAGTACTTAACTATGATTGCACATGAACATGAAGATAGTTGCAAAGATATGTAAAAGGATTAGAAGTGTATAAAAATAGATTAACCAGCCTGCCCCCAGTCGAATGCCTTAGAGATATGTTTGGAATACAATTCTCAGAACTTACTGGGAACTCTAGAAGTTGTCATTCAGCACATCTAGTCAACATCAGGATAAGGAAGGCTGGATTAAAAAAACAGCTGTAGAACACATTAGACTATGTTACACTGAAAGTCATAGGACTGATCAGACCAGCATTGCTTCTTCGTGGTTGCCTATGTGTCTTAAGAATGTTAGGAGATGTCTTTGCCATCTGTGTATTCAGGAATGGCTTAACTGGGAAAACTGGAGTAGAACCTCAGTGTTCCTGCATATGATATATGGGCTGAGAAGCAAATAATAGGTATGGATAATAATGAATAATACTCAGTCTAGGAAATGTTGAAGGATAAGTTGTCAAAACCTGCAATCTGACATGTAAATGCATCTATCTATCTATCTATCTATCTATCTATCTATCTATCTATCTATCTATCATCTATCATCGTCAGCATCATCAAGGTCTATAGCTATTTTCTGCATGTGCTCATGAGCTTGAGAAGATCTGGAAACAGCAGGGCGTCTAAGAACGAGAGCAATGAACTGTTTTGTGTATTTGAAATGTGTGTGAAATTTCATTTCCGCTCTAGTGTGTATATTGAATGATAGTTTTTGAACTGGAGAGGTACTGCAAATCCACTAGTCCACTGGGTGTTGATCACCAACTGATAGACATATTTAAAAAGAGAGGTATTTAGACAAGGCTAAATTAGCAACTTTCAGAAGGCAGAGTCTTTGACCTCTGAACAAGACACATCAGTTGGAAATCTTAACAGCCCCCTTGTAGGAACACTTGATAAACCTATCACAGTCTTTTGAAGTAATGAGGCCATGTTGTGGGTGTGCACTTCTATCCTCAGACAGACTTTACTTGTAGGCATGAAGCAGTGAAGGACTTCATGTGATGGATGGATGATGAATGGTTGGGCAGAAGGTAGGACCAATGAGAGAAACCAGGGATGTAGCATATTCCAGTAAATATTGACTGAAGGCAGGAACACCATGTTGTTTCTCTGAAATATCTTCCCTATACACTCCTGAAGAAAGGGAGTGGGTACAGGTCATGTCTTAATATTGAGGAATGGTTTATAGGTGTGTATTTCTATGCATGTACATTTGGAGGAGTTTTGAGCAAAATATATTATTTCCCTTTGTTTAGGTTGAATGTGGGGACTGCCATCTGTCCCATTCCAATGGCAGAGCTCAACCGGACAGTGACCCATTTTGTATTCTTGGGACTGACTGATATCCGAAGTGTGGAGCTGGTTTTATTTGTCCTTTTTTTCATCATCTATCTGCTTATCCTAGCAGGGAATCTGCTCATCATGGTGACGGTGGCTTGTGACCGAGGCCTCCACACCCCCATGTACTTCCTCTTGGGAAACCTCTCTTTCCTTGACATCTGCCATTCCTCTGTCACTACACCCAAGATGCTGCTCGACTCCTTCCTCCACCAGAAGGTCATCTCCTTTGGAGCCTGTGTGGCACAACTCTTCTTCCTCCATACCTGTGCCTGTGCTGAGATCTTCCTCCTGACTATCATGGCCTATGACCGTTGCATTGCCATCTGCTACCCATTGCGCTATGTGAAACTTATGAACCTGAAGATTTGTGTGTACTTGGTGGGTGCTTTGTGGGTGGGTGCGACTATCCACTCCCTGGTCCAGACAGTCCTCACTGTTCGCCTCCCTTACTGTGGCCCAAATGTCATAGACAGCTTTTTTTGTGATGTCCTCCCAGTCATCAGTTTGGCTTGCACTGATACGTACTTCACTGGGA